GGAGAATGGCGCAAACCCGGGAGGCGGAGCTTGCAGTGAGCTGAGATCCGGCCACTGCACTCCAGCCCGGGCGACAGCGCGAGACTCCGTCTCAAAAAAATAAATACAATAAAAAAATTCTACAATTACTTCATGAAGGAATAAAACATTTACAGAGACAAAATGGCCACAAATAAGCAACAACAGAAAACCTGAATAATGCTTATGTTTATAAAATTCTCAGTAAGATATTTGTAAAAGCCATTTTAGTATCACTTTGAGAAACACACCCTGATGCTAGGAGATCACTAACAGGGTTCCAGGCACAGATGAAAACTTCAGATTCATGGCCCCGCAACACAACTGCTTTATTAGGAGGGATTTCAACATCCCCATCCACTTCCATCATATCAGTATGATTATCTGCATCGTGAAAAACAAGTAAGCAATTCCAGTTAGGCAGTATTACAACATGGCGGATGGGTGAATTCTTAACTAGCAAATACCTTCCTTTATCACATACAGGGTTAACATTATCAAGTTAAGCTGAACATGACTACACAGTCTTAGTCACATAGAAAATAAATTGGTACCTTTAATTAAATATTGACCATACTTTTTTTTTTAAGAGGGATGGGGGTGGGGGTGGGATGCAGACTTTAAATGATTAGACCTAAACATGGATAAAACGATAAAATGGTTTGAACTACACATAATGTCTACCAGTACTATTCTGAGTTTCTGCCAGTAGGGGTTGCTGATATCATTCATATAACATGACTTGCCTTTTATCTCAATGTCAGAGCGCTATGGTATTTGTTGATAACTAGTATTACAATTTCATTTAGAAATCAAATGTAGATACAAAAATTCATTTAATGATGGGAAAAGGGCTTCTAGATATTTTAAAAAGAAAATAAAAGTAAATCTAGCTTTTTGGAGCTTCAGGAATAAAAATCTGAACTGTGTGATACAAGTTAAGAAAATAAGTTGGTGCAAATAACAGATGAAATTATTTCGGCATAGAAGATGGGACATTCTGTTAAAGCAAATATATTTCCTCTGAGAATAAATTTTTAAAAATTCTTATCTCCTGGGACCTTCCTGGGGGATGGAGGGTGGAAGAGGAGGATCAGAAAAAATAACTGTTGGGCACTAGGCTTAGTACCTCGGTGATGAAACAGCCTGTACAACAAACCCCTGTGACATGAGTTCCTCTATTTAACAAATCTGCACATGTACCCCGAATTAAAAGTTTAAAAAATAAACCATGTAATTAAAAAAAAAAAAATTCTTGTCTGAGCTCACTTGCTATAGTATGTGCTCCATTCTCTTCCCCATTTGCTGTGTTTTCTCCATTTTTTGCAGATCCTTGTTGGCTGGCTGCAGCTGCGGCAGCTGCAGCAGCTGCTGCCTGTTGCTGTGCAAGCTTATCTCTATAAGCTTGTTGTCTTGTTTGTACTACATCAGGCATTACGGCATCTATCAGGGACAGAGACTCTATTGGTCGACCATCAAACAAGGTACCATCCTGGATTTGGAAAATTGTGAGAGAAGAAAAATCAAAGGCAATATTTAAAGTTATTTGTATTTATACAAAATCAGAAATGAAATGAAAATCTTCATTCCTAGAAAAACATTTTGAGGAACTTTCTGAATTCATATAAGAAGTCCGGACGGAATAAAGAAACTACAAGCAGCAACTGGAAATGACTGCTTAAATTTTCCTTTTTATTTAGTTCACACTATTATTACAGTACAGAGCTGTACAGATAGAGCTGAAAGATGCAGGCCGAGCTGATAAAAAGGTTTATTAATTAGATTCTGAAATTCTGTTAGTCAAAGCAACAAACAATATGGAATAGCTCATAGAATGATCAAAGGCCTGGTGCCCCATTATAGTAAATACCTCTTTTAAAAAACTAAAAACTTTTGAGTTAAAAAGTTTCTTGTGATTTGATTCAAATATTAAAGCAGAAATAGACTTCATGAGCTATAGTGCTCTTGAATATTAGGGAGTTGTTGAAATTTCCAAAGCTCCACTTATTGATATTAGGAAGTTCCTAATAAAGAGTTCTCCAAGTAAGCACAAGAAGAGACACAAACACAGAGCAAGTCAGAAACACAAAGAGTACAAATTAGCTGGGAGCATGCATTTGTGAAGTCTCGTTCACTTAAACTGGTAAACGCGTACCAGTGACAATCTACAGTGTCATGGTAGGGTAATGTGAGCTGCAAAAACACTGCACGTTTTTGCAGTGTTTCTGAACTGCAATTGTAACACAGTATTTGAGGAACGGGAGAAAGTATTTTAACTTATAAATAATTTTATAAAGACACTAAACCCAACACAGATACACTGTGGAATAAGCGCTATGTCAAATTTACACATGTCGTAAGAAAAAATTTAGTTTTGTGTTAGTGGATTTTCACTCAAAGAGCTGAGGAAACAAAAAAATCCATTTTAGTATATTATGTAATTTCTAACTCTAGTAATAATCATTGATACAGAAATCATGGATACTTCAGTTTAAAAAATACTTGCAAAAGTGGAACATGTTAATCTCTGAAATAAAAGTAATGGGAAAAGCTCCACACTATACACAAAAATTTTACACTAGGCTGGGCATGGTGGATCACGTCTGTTATCCGCATTTTGGGAGGCCGACGTGGGCAGATTACCTGAGGTCAGGAGTCAAGACCAGCCTGGACAACATGGGGAAACCCCGTCTCTACAGAAATACAAAAATTAGCTGGGCGTGGTGATGGGTGCCTGTAATCCCAGCTGCTCAGGAGGCTGAGGCAGGAGAATAGCTTGAACCCAAGAGGCGGAGGCTGCAGTGAGCCGAGATCGCACCACTGCACTCCAGCCTGGGCAATGGAGCAAGACTCCGTCACACACCCAAAACAAAACCAAAACCAAAAACAACATTTTAAACTAGACCAGGGGTCTAGTTTACAACCTTTTCCTGTAAAAGAGTAGACAGTAAATATTAATTTAGGCTTTGCAGGCCATAAGGTCTCTGTCGCAACCACTATTCTGCCAAAAGTAGCCATAGACAATATGTAAATGAGTGTGACTGTGTTCCAATCAAATTTTATTTACTAAAACAGAGAGCAGCATTTGGCTAATGGGCCACAGTATGCTGACACCTAAGCCAAACAAACTACTCACATGTAGTCCTTAGATCGGCAGTACCATCCAGAGTTGGCTTCAACTATAAACTGGTTTAAATTAGGGTGTATTCAAATAGTGTGAGAATTTACAATTTTCAGGCCAATAATTATGATCTTAGCATTCCACAGCACAATGCTGTTAATAAAAATTATTTCTTAGTGTTTACTTATAAAAACAGATGAAGGCAAAAAAACTACTAGGCGCCAACACCTTGCCGGTGCAACCTGACTACTACATTAGGGATGAACTGTCTGCACTTTTGTTACCCCTGTGAAGCTAAAGTCAGAATACTGAATAAGCAAGCACGACAGCTGACTTAACGGCATATTTAAGAGTAAAAATTAGTACTTGAAGCAAGTCTTCCTTACCTCATTAATACTAACTTCTGCTTCTACATACTGTAGACCTTTCTGGATGATAGAAATCAATGCAGCAGGTGGGACGAGGGCACCATTTATATTGGACTGACTGATATGGCTTTCTATACCAAAGGTAAATGCTGAATGAGAAAATCCTAAAAACAAAAGAAAAGGCATGAGAATTTATTTTCCTAGTGGCAACATGCTAAATGACACACAAAAAAGATCACTATAATCTTACGAAATCCCATTCTACCCATTTAAAATCCCAGACCAGTATGCTAAGGTCGTGTGTGTGTGTAAACATGTCAGCCTTTACATATTTTCTTTTTCTCTTAATTACTTAATGCACTCTTTAAAATTTCTAGTAAATACTTGATTATATAGCTTCAAATTTTCTAAAATGTAGTCATAGTACACAACTTTTCTTAACAAAAAGCGTCAAACTTAAAAGGTAAAACAAGTCTTTGGAAATCATGTAATTCAACTGTTTCACTTAAGATAAATCAGGCCAAGATAGATTGTTACATTTAATATTTCTGTAGTATATTTTAATATTTTTTACATCTAGAATTAAGGAACTTTATTTCAAATTTTCTTCCATCCCAGTTCAAGTATTCAGCATTTCTCGAAAATGGTACACATAATATGCTTTAAATACGAATTCATTCATTCTGAATGATCTTCATTTACTTCATGTAATTGTTAACTACTATGTAGTTATAATTCAATAATGTCTTTAAAGCAATCTAGCACTCAGGTAAAATCTGAAGTATTTAAATTTCTACATATAAACTGTCAAACATCTGATAAATTCAGTATTTTGGAGCTCTTTGAAACTACTTAGGAAAACTAATAAAAACTAATTAAAAATAAATTTAAATAGTAAAAAATCATAATGGTTAAATACCATTTTATGTATGAATTAAGTGCTTTAAAAAATACCAATTCTTTGCCACTTAGTAATAACTCATCTATATGAAATATTTAAGAAATGAACAGCTAGCAAATGAATATCTGGTTTATAGGTCTCCATTAGCAATTACTTAGTTTTAACTTGAAATACTTCAAACCAAAGCACTTACTTAATAAAAATCTCTTTATGCTGGCCTTGCTTTTTGTGCATATCTAGTCAAAATTCAAAGGTAAAATTCTAATAAGCTGATAAACCAAGGATGGTTATTTAGTGAAATTATAACCACGATTTATCATTAAAGTAATTTTTATAAAGTATATTAAACAATTCAATTAAATTGTACATGTAATACAGAATATTAATAAACACTTATACTAAATAAAGGAAATAAACATGGGCTTATTTTGGGTCTTGGTTAAACTGATTTAATCTATATAGTATCTCTGTTGGCTAGACTGTCTAGTTTTTCAGTGTTTAGTACATGTCTTTTTTGGATTTTGAGCTTCCACTCTTATATTCCTTGTGGTACTGATAAACAGTCTAGTATAAAATACTGTGGGCTCACAAACAGCATGTGGCTAGGAAAATTTGGTTATTTGATAGTCAAAGTACACCTAAGTTGATTTTCCTTATAACCCCCACCTTCTCTCTTTGGAACACCTAACCCATTATGTTCACAACATCTAACCCACAGTGGAAAAGGTAAGTGGAAAAATGTTCCCTCTAAGACCTTGATTTCAGCCCCTGATTTTGCCCATAGGCAAGATCATAATTAAAGGCATTTATAATTTTCACCTTAATCTGAACTCACAGAGATAGCTAAGAAAGATACCAATGGGGCAGGGGGTGGAGAAGCACCGTTTTGATTTGTCCCTATCAAGAAACCCACAACTACCCGAATATGAGTAGATTTCAGATCACCAAGATAGAAAACAGAATAAGGATGAGGGAGGATGGGGAGAAACAATGAGAGACACAGCAGTAAAATCCTTAAGCAGTGAGGTTGGAGATTCCTGTTTTCAATTATATACCCCCTCCCTGAATAAATTCACAGTAAATCATCCATAGTAAAAACAGCCAAACAGCCAAGCACCTTAAGAGATTTAAGAAAACTTTGAGACAGAAGACATCATTTATGGAGGGCCTATACCATATGCTAGATACTGTGCACAAACATGTAAGTTTATTATTTTATAATCTAATGGAAAAACACAACTAATAAACGAGAAAGTACAGATTCAAATTCATTCAGAGACTCTACTACTCCTCTTGAACAGTTAAAATATGGTCAAGGATAAAGCTAAGGGAGAGAGTGAGCTCCTGTTTCCTGACAGAAAGTAAAAGACGACTTTTGTTTTCAACTCAGGGTCCTGGAAAGTGGTTACACAGTGCATGAAACAATGAGCCATCTTACTGCCATATTTACTGCCAAGGTTTTCAAAGTGTCTTGACTTATGTAATGCTTATAAATTTGTTTGAAGTACATGATTTCTGTACACTTTATTCATGGCTGCAATTTAAATAGTCAAAATTGTTCAATTTAGACTCTATTTAATTAGCTTATAGAGTTTAAGTTTAAAGTAATAATACGTCCAAGAATAGCCTAAGAGTTGCAGGTGGAACTGTGCCAATTTCTGGCTGGAATGTTGCAGATATCTTGAATTTGTTCTGTCAGACCAGGAGAAAAACTATCACAGGTGCTTACATGCATCTCAAGGTACTGCAGATGTACTTACGGTGCTCTCAAATAGCAACAAAACATCCCTGAAGTAGTCATTAGCATTGTTTTGGCACTTCTCATTAATGTTTACCCTAGAGAAGTTCCACACTTAAACGCTCTGCTTAAATGTTATTTTCAACTAGAATATTTTATTTATTTCTAGCCATGGCATTACATAGCAGTTTAAAATTATGATGTTTGAAATTACTTTTCTTCTTCCCCTCCCTAAAACTACTTTTCCTTAGAAACCTCTGATCTCATTTCACTACACCTGAAAGTCAAAGTCATTCCTAACTCCCTGTTCTTTCTCGGTCTCTGGCATTTGACAATTTACCAAATCCTACCATCCTACTCCAAATCCTACCACTCTACCATCTGTATATGCTCATCACCTTACCTTTTCTGCTAGATCTGTGTTTAGTCCCCATTACACTTTGCTATATACATTTCTTTCCCCTCCTCCTCAATTCAGTACATATGCCAAGCTACAGCTAGACTATTACTTGTAAAACAAAAAACTGGTCATACCACTTCTTGCTTGAGAATTTTCAATGATTCCCTTGGCCTTCATAATAAAGGTCAAATGCCTAACTATGGCACACAGTTGTTTTTGTAATCTGGCTCTTCTGTTTCTCCAGTCTCATCTCAATACTACACACCCCCCGCTCTCACTCCCATTACACCATAAATTCAAGTGGTGGCAAATAGATATAATTTGAATATGCTGTGTTATATATCACGCCTCTGAGCCTTATATGCTCCTTTGCCCTTTCTCCTATCGAATGGAAGTGAAATCCTCTTTCACTATACCAGGGCTAACCAGTCTCTCCTATGCTGATCCTGAAATTTCTTTACGTGTGGCACTTACCACACTGGTTATCACCTCTGTGGCTATGGTTGTTTGCCTTTGTGTGACTACTAGACTGGGATCCTGATAAAAGGGTTTATGTCTAGTAATCCTTTAATTCTGGGAAACTAGCACATTACCTGAGTCAACAAGTACTCAATAAACATTTTTTAAATTAGAATGCAATTATACTATAATGTATTTTGGCACATCAAAAAAATCTGTGACTCCAGAAAAAGCATATGACTTAAGTCTTCCTTGGAAAAATCTAAAACTTGAACTAGTTTCGTGCCAGAAGCTATTTCCATTTATCTGTAAATATACATGCAGAAAAGGCTTTTTCCAGGGACAGCTTTTGATTTATATAATAGGAGGCAAAAGAGACCACCTAAATCTGTTAAATGTTAGAATCCGGCATGACCATCTAAAATAGCATCCCTTCTTTCCAAGGGTAAGAGCAAATCTGATAGTGCCTCTGTAATCAAGTACTCTAAACACTGACTAGGGTATTGAGATTTAGGGAGTAGAAGAGACTCCAGAAAGAAATAAGGCTGAAACACACGAAGTATATAGTCATTCAGTGACAGAGACAAGCAACGGCAGCTGGTAGGGAGTGGGGTGGCACGCATGAGATCACAAAACAGCCATCTTCTATAGATTGTTTGTTTCAGGAAGTGCTTTCTGTAAGAATGTTAGGGACTGTGTTCTCAAAGGAGAGTTAGTCGTATAGAGCCTGCCAACTCTACCTTGCAAATAGGCAATACAAGAATAAGAAAATGGACCCTGAACACCAAGGTTATGGTACAGGATGACTAGATGAGACAAACTGGTGAAAAAGGCAAAGCTTAAATATGACCACAACATACTGCATCTGAAATGAACATCTGATTGATCTAAGGTCCTATTTAAGCTTCAAGTCAGAAAAACCTAGCAAAATTATACTCATGTTCTCATCATCCAATGCTTCCTTGACTCCAACTCTGTCCTACAGATCCAGATATTAGAAAAGGTAAACAGGATGGGGAAAAAAATGACACAGGGGATCTTTGTCATTGAAGAGCTAGACCTAGTACTTATACACTAGCCATACAATTTCATGCCCTAATTTTGCCCTTAAAAATACATGTAACTATGAACATTTTAAATAAATAATACTTTCTGAAATAATTTAAATAGCATCGTAATACTCAGCCAGTAAATTATTCATGTCATAGCTGGACCTTTGAACTTTTCCAATGATCACTATTTTAAAAGAATCTTACCTCAAATATCTATATGTATAGGCTTTTGCCATGTACAATGTTTTTTTTTTTCCTCTCTCTCTCCTTAGGATGGATTCCCTCAAAAGCTGAAGGGGATATAAGCATTTTAAAGAAGGTTTTCATCACTGCCAAATTGCTTTCCAAAAAAATTATACAAATTAATAATGCCAAAAGCAATTTACATGTTTCCTTATACTCTCGCTATGCTGGCTAGTCCTAAAAAACAAACAAAAAAATGCTAATTAACATTGAACAAATTCTCTGTTTGACAACTATTAAAGGGCCATTGTCCTTTGATAAGTGTGTTAGCAGGACTGTGTAATATGAATTTCCTGCGTCAGCAAAAAATGGTAATTCAGCTTACAAAAAGAGGAGAAAAACTTATTTGGGGAAAGAAACAGAATTGTAAT